CTTAGCGGCTTTTTCAGTTGAAAGTTACGCCTAAACACACGCACGCAGGCGCAAATCCGTACACAGCCACACATGCATGTGCATGCATATGCACCAACCTGATACATTTTTGCTGTACCAGTTTTGCAAGCATGCATAAAATGTCAAGTTTCTATGATTTAACTCAGGCTGAAACGCATCAGATTGCGGGCCCGATTATACGTTTTTATACCATACTTGAAGTAATCAGGTCGTCAACTGCGTAAATGGTTATAGCTTTGCACTTACCGTATGCAATCTCTAACACAACTTATCGTAAATTTTTCAAAAGGAAAGTGGACAATCTCCGTTTAACGGCCATTTCTAGAAAATGACTTGGCTGCTCAGTGAGCAGTTTTTTCGCCAGAACTTTTTAGTAACCACACCTGAGGGCCACGCAATCCTGGGAGCTGAGTTTGAAATCTTTAAGTTGTACTTGGACAGGGGACATCTCCTTAAAACTTCAACCTTCCAGCTTTTCTAGTTATCCACTTAGCAATTTTTCACCGAATCTTTCACGTGCCCGTACGTGAAAACTGAATTTAAAACCTTTATCTCACATATGCACAGAGAATATTCCTCCAAAATTTCAGTTCTCTGTCTTGCTCCATCCTCAAGATCATTTTCCTGCTAAAAAATTTGCACATTCTTTAAAGCGTTGGTATGTAGGACCTAGGCATACGCGGACGACAATATTACCCAGACTGGAACGCACCAGGCTCCCCGGTCCGATCATGCGTTTTTGCACTAAACTCGCAGATCGCTATTAGCAGGAATGATCCCTACGCTGTAACCTAACAATTGAGCTAATATTGGTCGTGCTTTGATCCTTTCTGGCATGCAGGGATAAGGGCGTCAGTTGGGATGAAGGCGGTGCATTACAGAGCCGCACGGGCATCCAGGTGCATGATTATCGGTTTTTTGCATGAAGTCCGGTCGTTTTTCAGTAAATACTCGCTTTGTGAAAAAATGACATATGTAAATTTTCTGAAAAAATGCAAATTTCCAGTTCATTAAAAAGTGGAAGTATTGTTCGAGCGGTCTTTTGTCAAAAAATGCACGATCGTTCACATATACGATTGCGGTTAAGGTCCGAGCTGCGAACGAATTTTTTGAAATATGCGAATTTTCAGTTCATTGAAAAATTGAAACTACTGCTCGAACGGTGGTTTTTCAAAGAATCCATGTTTATTTGCATATACAATTGCGGTTCAGGTCCGAGTTGTTATAACAGTTTTTGGGTTCAGGAGCTGCTTAAGGCTGTGGTTGGGAAGCTAAAGAGCTCAGTTTAAAACTTTTATCTCTCAGGTACTTAGAGAATATCCCTACAAAGTTTTAGCTTTCTACGTTGCCTGGTTCGCGAAACCGTTTCCCGCCAACAGATTTCTTTAGGGGTCCCGCACGCGGGATTTAGGCGCGTAAGGGGAAAGAGCTTAAAACGGGAGGATGACACACGAGGTGGGAACATATATCCAAAGTTTCAGCCTCCCAGCTTTCCTGGTTCCTGAGATGAAAGTGGGTGACAAAATGCACTCGCCTTGCGAATACACATACACAGACAGCCTCTCGACAATATGCGTTTTTGCCAGCTGTAGCACAGCAAAAACGCATAAAAACGAAAGGTTCGCATAGGTGGTGGACACATATGCCCGCAGTTTCAGCTTTCTAGCTTTTCTTGTCGCCAACTTGAAAATAGGTAACAAAAAGTGCGAACACACGACACACACACACACACACAGCTTCTTGTCAGTGTGCTTTTCTGCATTTGCACATAAAAATGGAATTCACTGCAGAATGTGCGGCCGGTGAATGGGGTCCGGATTGCGCGTTATGTTGTCGTTGTGCAAGCGGTACATGCAGCGCGAGTAATGGAGAATGCGCCGGTGGCAAGTGCGCCGAATGCTGGACAGGACCACCAACTTGCCAACAGAGTAAGTATTAATACTATTCTAGATTCAGCTTACTTTAAGCCATCGATAATCACTTGCCTCAGCCGTTGAGACAGTTGACAACGACATGGGCCAGCGAGTGCCTTGATTGCTCCACGATAAGCTGACAAAAACTGGTGGGGAGACATCTGCAAAAAGCCGGTAAAAATTAATGCAGTAATAGTAGCGAAACGCTATGGGTCGTCTCTATGTGAATGCGTTGCCACAGATTTTAGTGCTCAAATTTCTAGGAGTAAAGCATGAGAGCCGCTAGTATAATGGCTAGCTCAGCACAGTTCGAAGATTTCGGCAGCAGTGCAAATAAGGAGTTCATTTTTTGTAGTTTGTATCTTTACAAAAAGAAGTTTGTTTGCAAAATGTAGGTGTCTCAGTGGCGACAATAAGATCAAGTATAGCTCCATATTCAATTGAGCTGAAGAACGTGGATTGGTCATATTTTTATACATAATGCTAGAAAGAAACACATTCGGACACAAAAAAACACGTGTACACAGTAATTACATACGTTCCAATTTAAAATGAATTTTATCTTCTTCCACTTTTTACTTTTTTAGTCTCCCCTTAAAATTTTCATAAATATCATTCCTGCATTCCCTCGATTATCCTCTATCAATATCAATAAGAGCTTTGATTAGTGTTTAAATTAATTGAA